TGACTGTTGTGCTTTCTTTTAATATGTTGTATTGTATCCATGTTTGGAATTCTGTTTGTCTTGCCCCCCCACCCTTCTGAATTGTGAGCCGCCCTGAGTCCCCCCAGGAAAAGGGCGGCATACAAATAAAGGAAAAAACTAAACTTAAAGAGCAGAAAAAAACAGGAATGTCAAATTCACCATCTGATAGACATAGATGTATGATGCCTTGACTAGTTTCCTTCTAACTTCTATGGATGCTTATTCCTCCTGCTGCAGAAGAATTCAGTGGATTAGTTTCTGGTATTCTTAGACCTGAGAATATGTAGATCAGTAGGTGATCGATGAAAAGAAGGTCAAGAATGGCAAAAAGAAATTTCAGCAGAGTACAGGAATTCTTAATATGGATACGGAAATAAGGAATGATCTTCAGTGGATAGCCAGCAATACTGATCAAGACAGCTATGAATGCCCCAATTCTGGGTTTATGTCTCTCTGATATTTGAGTAGATTCTCCTGTTGGCTTATTTTGTTCCGTTGGATTAAGAATTTAGCTATCAAGTGAGATTTTCAAGTCTCCTCTCACTCATATTTTCTTTTGCTTCAAGAAGATTCTGACCTCAGCAGCAGAGGCTCCCCAACTCTAGAAAGCAGCTATTCTGATACCTGACCATAGGCAGGGTAAAGTCGACCCAAAGACCTAAGCTGAGCAGTTATCTATTTAAAGCTTTCTACTTGTATGTGTATGTTTCTATGTAGAATTGGACAGAGGAAGCTGATTTATATTAGTTATATTGTTGTCCATCCAGACCAGCATTTTACATATTGGCTGGCAGCAGCTCTTTATAGTCTTGGGACTTTCTCATCACAGTTTCTCTGATTCACTGGAATATCTTTTAACCTGGGGTATCTGGTAGTCCACATGGGCATGTGTGATGCATATATTTTCCCTGTGGGGTCTATGACAACTCACCAGGGCCAACTTGCCACAGCCAACTTGTTGTGGGATGACTCACCTTGGCCAACTCACCATGGCCAACTCACAGGACAACTCAATGCGGGACAAGAGTTATACTAATATCGAAGAAATAGTGGAATAAAAATCATTAAACTATGCCAAAAGAAGGACAAAATGAAATGTGAATGAACAAAAATTAAAATAATTTTTAAATTATTTTAAACTAGCTGTACCCGGCCACGCGTTGCTGTGGCCCGGTCTGGGCATAGTGGGGAGATGGGCGGGTGCTGCCATTGGTCAAGACTTGGGGCTGCTGGGACGGGTGAGGCTGGTTGGGGGAGACGGCGCCGCCGAGGCTGTCAGCCTCATGGAAGTTGTTAAGTATCTCCTTGGAGGAGCTGCGCTCGGGATCCCCCAAGTCAGTGGCCCGGAAGAGTGAGATGTCCAGGATCTTGGAGGAGAAGTCCTTGGTGTGCCACCTCACAGGGCACCCAGCAGCTGCCCCAGCCCCGCTGCACCTCAGGCTGACATCGCCGCCTCTGCCCTGTCGGAGCCGCCTTGGCAAGGCCGTAGCTGGCTCACTGTGAGGGGGGCTGGAGAGTGTGCACAGCCAGCCGGGCTGAGGAGGTGCTGCGCCTCTACCTCCTCTGGAGCTCCGCTGGGCTGGCTGGGGGTAGGCTGGCTTAAGGGCAGGGGGAGGCAGCTGAGGGATGGCACAGGTGGCGCCCCGCCGCAGACAGCAAAGGCCCGGCAGGAGGGGAGGGGAGAGTGGGGAGGCCGAAGGGCTTTGGCTCCCCTTGGCGGAAATGGCCAAAGCTTGTCAGAGGAGGGGCGGAAAGGGGAAAGGGTGCAGCCACAGCCCAGCCACACATATAAAGGGACCGTCGGCTGAACTGTTCCAAATATACTATACTCACTAAATGAACACTATGATAAATGACACAGCTCAATTCCAACGCAATGTCACACGAAATAATTAAATCAAAATGAAAATAAATCAAAATTTGTTCTGCCCCCCCTTCTTCGCCGTTCAAAGATGACAGGCAGACAGACTTAAAAGGAAAGAACTTTATCAGTCTTCAGCTCAGACTGGCTGCGAGCCCAAACTGAACATAA